TAGTTTATTTTGTCATTCTGATCGGATTTTCTCTACTGTTCCGTTTTAATTTTAAATTGTTTTGCATTATATGGCCGTTTGCTGTTTTATGGGTTTTTCCCATTTGCCTTTCAAACTAGGTTGTGAGTTCCAAACCAATGTTGATCATGCTTTAGTTCTTGGGAAGATTCTTTATCATTATCTTTTTTGTCATTTCTCAAAATCTGTTTACTTTATTAATATTCTTTCTTTTGACTGGACACATTTTCAATGCAAAAGTACTGATCCCCAAAATCGTCCAGTTATTTTTAACAACGTTAAGGTTCTTATTCCAATTTGGTACCATAAATTGTTGCAACTTTGGCTATGGGTTCATTTAGGGTGAATATTTTCATTAAAGGCAAGCATAGACGATAGCTTGTAGATCATTATGAGTAACTGTTTACTTCTTCTTCCACTAAGTTTACTCCAGTTAAGTGTATTCATTACTTCATTTATGGGAGTCATTGTATTAGAGTACAAATCTACCTAATCTATTCAGGAACACTTGCAGAGTATTTAAATGTTGTATATTCAGATTTGACAGAATGCAAATACAGTAATCAAAAACTAAACTATTATAGTATCTACATTTGCCTCTCTTTACTTAGTAAAATGGAGTATCTGGTCCGAAGCGAATGATTTAAAAAGAAAAAAGTGAGTGATGATTACAAGCATGACTAAGAAAGAGAGCGGAGGAGGATTCTGTGCACTCTGAAATTGAAACTTAAAATTTCTATCACTATTAAATTTATTTATTTATTTATTGCTTTCCCATAGGCAGCTGCAATTAAGCCAACCAGGACCCCATTAAACTTCTAATGGGATAATCGGCTTATGAGGCCCTGAAAGTTTTACTTGAGTTAAAAACACTCAAAATTTACCTTGTCTGAGTGTATAAGGCTTGTTCGTAAGTGATAGAATTTTGCTCTTCATCATCTTGTGCACTCTTTGCCTTCAAAATGAGTCTTTGCAAGGACCCTCTTCCAAATGTATCAGTTGATGTTGTCTGGAAATGTTCGCATAATGCTGTTTCAACAAGCTTCATATCATTCTGAAAAAAAAATGCATTTAAAACTAATTTATAAAATATTCATAAGGCCTTAATTAAAAAACTATTAAATTTAAAGTATAATATTAGGCAATAAAAAGATGAAAACTGAAATTAGAATAGGGATTTGGTTGCACATTCTCAATGTTCACACCCTCCAGGTCAACACGTACTATACATACACCCCTAAATATGCTAATACATTATTTTATACTAACCATGTTCTGCTTCCCACATTGTCTGATGAAGTCAATAAGATCATGAGGAGAGGGATAATATGGTGTTCCTTGGTTAGCTTTCTGATTGGTTGCACCAAGAATACTCCCACCAAACTGCTGAAGAAGCTGTACACAAGTAAAGTTGACATTAATTATGCAACCTTATGATGTATTTAAATTGTAAATGTATAATAATAATCAATGCATTTATTTTTTAGTTCAGCTTTACCACCATGATGTTCATAATAATCATAATTGTCATAATGATGACAGAAAGATGATTATGCTCATCATATCATCATTATTAAAAAAAAAAAACAAATGTTAAACCTTTGGAGTCTTAGTGATAAATTGCAGAAAAGTTCCTTTTTTAAAGTCCAAAAAACTTGACAAATTTCTGTTCTGACATAATCTACTTTCGATTCTGCTCAGATCATGGAGAGTTGGAACATCTTGAAGACGATTCAGAAAATTTTCCACATCACTAATAATTTCCTCTGTAAAGAAAATAGTATATATCGTAGGAATATACTGTATTAATTGTTTCTGAATATAAAGTTCAGAAAATATACTGAATAAAATTTTCTGAATATAAAGTCCACATAGTTCTTTATTTTTGTACTGAAGTGGCACTGATCCTTATAGATCTGTCACAAATGAATACAGAAGTACATGAAGAAACCATGACTATCTGATGATTCCAAAAATGTTTTACAGAAATGTATATACTGTATATTAATCAATAGAATATTATTATACAGTGTCACCACTTAAAAAATCCTTAAATGTTTTAGAGAAATGTATATACTGTATATTACTCATTAAAATGTTATTTATACAGTGTCATCCTTAAACAATATGAGTAATCCAATGTTTTATTTATAATTTAGGGGTTTCCATATTTTACAACAGAAAAAACTATTAAAAGTACTCAAGACATTTTTACCTTGATCAGGAATTTTATTTGCACAAACAGATGGTTCTACTTCAGTCTGTTCATTTTCTTCTTCTATTTCTTCTTCCTTGCTACCAGCAGGCATAAAATCCTGAGGAAATTCCATGTTACCAAGGCATATAGCGAGTTGAAAAAGGTTTCTTGCGAGTTCGTTGTTAACTATTGCTGGAAGTGCACGGAAAAAACCCCTAAGACGAGACTCCTGATTTAAAAGCGGCTGAGCATTTTCAAACACTTTAAGTATTGCCTCTGCAGCAGTCATATCAGCATAGCGCTTCCGAATGTCCAGTCGTGAACGTTCTCTGTCAGTATTTGCAGGCTCAAGAATTGATTTCTTAACACTTTCCAAAGATGCCTCCACCTCCTGCTTCAGCTTAGCCAAGATGGCTCTACGGCATTCATCCATTGTGTTCTTTTCCTCTCTTTGAGCCTTTTTAAGAACCTATGCCACAAAATCAAACTTGTGTACAGTAAAACATATTAGAAAAGGAATGTAAAGCTCAGGACCAGGGAATTTAATTCACCCGACATAAAAAAGATACAATACAATGTATCTTTAGGAAACTTAGCATCCTTAAAAAGTAAGAACAGTACATTAGATTGAAATATATTAAAATTAGGTTAATCAATAGTATATTCTGTAAATAAAAGTGTGAAAGTGTACTTACAGAGACCCCTAGTGCAATACTCTGAACACGAATTCCAAGTTGATAAGGATCAGAAACCCCAAAATCCTCCATTATAAACTCCATGAAACCTTTCAAATCAACTTTGCTTCTCCACAAATCATTTTTTCCCATGTAATTTCTCAAGAGTTCCAATATGTCCATTGTAGTCACCTTAATAATGTCATCATCAGATTGATATGGGGGAAATTTAAAAAGATTATAGACTGCAGGAAATTTAGAGAGTGGTCCAACATTTAACTCTTCGAAAGAATCTTTACCTTCTTGAATATTTTCAAGATCCTGGAGAAGTTCATAAAGTGTCGCAATAGAGCGGCACTTACAAAAAGCAGATATGTAGGCATTGATACGGCAAAGTAAGCGTTGGTGCTCGTGAATTGCTTGAAGGTCTGTTTCCTTATACAAACCTAGTTGTCGGATGCTTGTTTGGCCAAAGTACTCCATCACCCCTTTCATAACCAACTCTATACTGACATGCTCATTTTGTTCTGCTAGTGCCTGGATATGGAATAAAGCTCTAGAATTTACATCATCTTTAGTTGGTCTTTTCCCAACTTTTCTGTTCTGAATTCCAGATATATCTAAGTGATCAAACTTTATCCTGCGGTTTTCGGCTTCTGCTTTAGGATCTTTCTTTGACTTTTCTTTTGTTTTCTTTTTTGTGGCACCTTGACTTAATGTGGGCCAGTCATGACTATCCTCACCAATAGATGGTTCCAAAATCATTGCTTTATTCCCAAAGATTATGTTTCCAATAGAGTGTGTATCTCTGCTAGGTTGTTTGGATGCTGAATTAAATTCTGTGGGTGACATTGAGTTAAATTTCCTTTCATCAATTTGTGAGCTTTGACAGGTTTTGATTTTTTGGTGTGGAGATGAAGGAAAACTTGTTGGTAGGCCTACTTCTTGAGGTCCTTGAGGGAGTGAAGAAGCCTGTAGATAACCAAATGTTGTTTCTGACTGCTGAACCTGCTGATGAAATCCTTGAGGAAGCAATGGTTGAATTGGTTTAATTAGCGATTCACCAGATTTTTTATTTGATACTGATTGTTCATGCTCAACATTGGTTATCTGTTGTCCAAATAATGGCTGTTGAAGGATGTGAGGAAGTGGCATCGAAAAATATGAGGGAACTTGCTGGTTGCTTTGTATCTTTGATGGTTCTTTGACAACTTTTCCTACATTGGTGCATTTTTTCTCCAAATTCAATGGAACTTGCTGAGTTTGGTTTCCTAAGGTTTCAGATGTTTGGGCACTAGCTCTTTTAAATTCTTTTTTAGCTTTTTTCACTTCAGCTTTCCCTTCTTTCTTTAGGCGTAAAATTTCTTCTCCACTGGCATCAGATACTATTTCAGACCAATTAAAATTATCTGGAATACTTCTAATGCCCTTAATACCATTACCACGCAAATTAAGATTTACTTTAAAGTGTGTAGAGTATCTGTGTGTCAAACTGTCCAGTGGAATTCCAAAAGGATTGAGACGAAGGAGTTCCCGAAGGTTCTTTTTAATATCATCTCTCTTGTGATGTCGTGCCATGGTGCCATAAGATTAATCCTAAAGAAAAAAATATTCATATAGGTTTAATAATAGCTTCCTATAAACAATGTTAATAAATTTGGTTAATTTTATTTTGGCATATAATGTAATAATTACAAGAGAAAAAAAAATAAATAAATAGAAAACAATACAAATTCCAAAGTTTGTCACAAGCAAACAAAAAATCACTCACGTTTAAAGCGCCAGTTCCTGAACATTTCCATTACAAGTAATTTAATGTGAAGATAGTAAAGATTAATGATTTTGAAATAATGTTTTTTTTGACAAAGATTTACAAATATGATATGCAATAACTACTTGATAATTTAGTCATTCCTAAATGCAAAATAATGACTTAACTTTAAATAATATAAAATTCTCACCTACCTCAGAGGTTCGACTTTATATATAAAACAAAAATCAGGTGGAGAAAGCATGATAGTGCATGTGTCTAAAAACCTCTGAATTTGTCACCTAATAAATAAAATCTTTGCAAAATGGTATTCTAATTCTCATTTTTATGCCAATAAATGGACTAGTTCTTGATATTACAGTAATGCATGCATTTGTTTTTCTAAAAAATAATTTAAGTATATTCTGAAAAAAAAAGAAAAAAAGAAAAGAATCACTTATGATCAGTCAGTGTACTGTATGAGACTGCACTTTTCCAAATTATGAAATTATTTAATTACTTTGTTACATCACATTTTTTGAGAGCATGTATCTAATACCCCCTTCTCACACGATGGCAAATTGTACGAAGGGTATTTTCCCTAATAAGAATATTTTGGTCATGAGAATGTATCATGATCTTGGTTAAAAAGAAAACAGAGCTCAACAAGGCCAAGATATTTAGCAAGGATCTGTCCACATGGCACAGGGTGCACCTTTTCGTCATCACTCGTATTTCACTGTCAAATATCTTTCCAAAATAAAATTATTTTGTTATTTTATTAGTGGCTTCTATGATTCTAAATATTGATATGGGGGATGGGGCAGATTGTTGAGGGAACATGGGTTAAGTGGAGGGGCACCAGGTGTAAGAGACAGGGGGGTGGTAGCTAGCAAAGATATTAGGTGATTTCATTTACTTAGTGCAGGGAACAGTGAAATTACTGTAATTTCACTGTTCCCTGCTTAGTGTAAGTGTAATCCATTGTTCTAGTTTGGTGGTACAAATTTTTTCGGAGGGGGGAAGGGGAGGGGAAAGGTTTGTGCATTCCATGCCTCTCAAATATCCCCAATAGTAAAATATATAATCACCGTGTAACACATCATCTTGACATCATTTAGAAATCCTGATCTGCATGAGTGCATTACTGAGTCATTGATTTTCTATTGAAATAACTCTTTTATATAAAAGCTGGAATTTCCAATTTCTAGTGCATTATGCAAGAAGGGAAATTTATGCTATGATATCAATGCATTATCATAGTGGAGTCTACCACCATTAGGCCTACACTCAGAAGATTGTCTGTTTAAACATTCATTATAAATAAACAGACAAAGGTCCTTTCAATACTTTTGAGCAATGTTTCCATTATTTAGTAGGAAAACAATTAGAAAAATAAGGGGTAAAAATTCCTTTAACAAAAAAATGGGAAGTGTGAAAATGACTCTGGTGAAAATTTGTGGGTGGGGGGAAAACTTGTATCCCTGTTCACCTGGATCAGTGCCCATACAGTACAGTAAACTATTTTTTTTTTTAAATCTGTTTTCTGACAAATATCATATTTATTTAAATAAACGCCACAGGGCATATTTTGTTAAGAAGGGTTTTTGAGGGGGCGTTTATTCAAGGGAAGCATTTATTCTTTTGATGTGTTAAATATATCCAGATAAATCCCCTTAATTTTACTAGAACCATGGAGGTATTATAAATTATAATACCTCCTTGCTAGAACTAAAACACATAATTACCATCAAAATGTGCTACTAGAGTAGAACATAATAGAATGTTCTGACAATGATGTTGTTTATAATTCTACAGTAGATTTGCTTACAGTCATTTAGGAGGCTCTAAAGGGGCATTTATTTGAGGGGGATACGGAGGCCATGGGGAACTTATCTGTACCTACAAACACTGCATGAGATCATTTAAAGGCAATGCCTGAGAAATCCCATTAATGAAATTTTACAAAATCTTGGCGGGAAGATATTAATTTGGTGTATCATACAGTGGCGGTGTTAGGAGGGGCTGCGCCAAAGTGCAACTCTTGATGCAGTCTGCGCCAAAGTACAACTATTGACCAGCCTGTAGGCGGCGTTGCCTTGTCGTCAGCAAAATTCTAGTGCCTGATCTACATGAGTACATTACTGAGTCACTGATTTTTCTATTCAAATGACTCTTATACAAGCTGGAATTTTTCAATTCCCAGTGCATTCTGCAATAAGGGAACTTTATGCAATGATATCAATGCATTATCATGTTAAGTGGGGTCTACCAACATTAGGCCTACACTCAAAATATTGTCTGTTTAAACATTCATTATAAATAAACAGACAAAGGTCCTTTCAATATGTTGAGGAATGTTTCCTTATTATTTAGACTCTCGACCAGCCTGTGGGGGGCGTTGCCTTGTCGCCAGCAAAATTCTAGTGCCGCCACTGGCACCACAAAATGTAAATATATTTTTTATAGAAAAATAATTTGAGAAATTTTTATTGCATACCTTAATTTGTTGCCTTTTATCTAATAATAAAATCTTTATTAATAATAAACCACAAAACATTTTCACAGTAGGTGCATTGTACAAAATAAGGGACATCTTAAAAGCATTAAACTCTTCATATGACTTATAAACGATATGTGTGTGTGTGTGTGTGTTGCATATGCATATGTGGTATATTTAGTCATCAATACTTAACTGGTGAATAACCAATGGACTCTACTGTACCTGAGGACAGTATATAATATGTTCGGAATGAATGCGGTAACAACTGGTAAGAAAGCCTTACTTTATAAATGTTAATATTGGTGAATCTTATATAAGAATGGAAGTGGATACTGGTGCTTCCAGATCCACCATATCAGAGCAAATGCACGATAGCAAATTTGCAATATTCCCACTACGCAAGAGCAATGTAGTTCTTACCAGTTATTCCACAGAGGAAGTGCCTCTTACGGGGAAGCGAAGGACATCCTTGGGCTGCAATGTCTCTCGAACCGATTGATGGGGATGAGCAGGAAGTATTTCACAAAACTGAAGTCCGGGGATCACCGGCTGAATCACTTCCTTCATCCAACATAAATACAACCTCAGACACAGTAAATATTTCTCCACACCATTCACTCGTACAAACAGATCAGCAAATTTCATCAACTATGGATTATCTCGTGAATGGTGATTCGATCGGTACCGCCCCCCCCCCACCTCTCGTGTTTGTCTAACACTCTTTCGGTTCATTGATATTGATGTGGCCTGGAAGGCGCTAGCTCCCAGTGTGAAACTCCTGGAATCGGTATCAATTTCAATATAAGAATAATAAATAAAATAATAATAATAATAAAAGTAATAACAATATATAATAATAGCAATAGTTAATGTACTACAATAATTATAATTAACATAATGTAACATTTGTTAATTTTTTTTTTATGTGTACAATATCTAATTTGCATTTTAAATATTTTTGTACAGTATTCTAATTCGTATTTTAAATATTTTGTATTGTATGTGTAATTATTCTTTATGTTTTCCAGAATTGTACATTGTAAATTCAACAATGTTTACCTTGTTGCAAATAAAGAGATTTGGTTTGATTTGATTATAAGGTGAAATTTTAATGTTCCGCTGAAATACGATAACAATACTAGAATTTTTTGGATTCACTGCTTCATAAATTAAAATAAGGAGCACTACCATGTTTCCAGAAATCTAGGCCAGCTTATTTAAACAGGGCGCTTATGAAAACAGAGTGGAAAACTGCTCCAGTGATTTTTCAAGAAACCATGGACAAAATATTCGCTGGTATGAAGAATGTTTTTGTTATGTTGATGATATTCTTATGCAACAAATTCAGTTGAAGAGCACCTTAGAGATCTTTCACGGCTACAAAATACAATGTTAATTTGAATAAGGAATGTAAGTTTATAGAAAAACAAGTTCAATACTTGGGACATCACTTAACAAGTGAAGGTATCAAACCTTTACAAGATTAAAGATTGAGGCTATTAAGAATGCCAGGCCACCGGAAAATGTTACGGAACTTAAATCATTCCAAAGTTGAGCGCCAAACTGCATGTGTTGTATACATTGCTACAACATAATGTCAAATGGACATGGTCGAAGGCATGCCAAGAGGCATTTGACTATGCTAAGGAAATATTAACAAGTGATAACATTTTAGTACACTTTGATTCAGAATGTCCCTTGATTTGTTAGCGACAAGTATACTCGCCCATATGGTGTTGCTGAGGGTGCGCAGAACGAGTGATACTCGTCAAAATCGGGGTAACATCTAGCATTTAGCATTTCTTTGTTATACATTGTAGAACCACATACTCAATGGCTGCCACTTCGGGGAAGATACACCAAGACGATAATGTACAAATAACTTATGAACAGTATGGTATCAAATTTACTTAGGTTACTGATCATCAACCCTTAACCAGAATATGGTAATGGTAATGGTTTGGGACTTGTAGAGTGCATACTACATGGTCTCTATGCACTATAAGTTACACAAAGAAACAAACCAAAAACTAAATCCTAGAGTCTATAGCCAAGCGACCTAAAAATAAAAAACATCAGAAACAGACTATATCGCAGGGGAACCAACATCACCGCACCGTTTTCCTGCAATTTTAGACCACTGGCAAGCAGTGGTTTGCAGGATCATAACTCACAGATGCTCACGAATATTTGGTCCAAAGTCGGGAATTCCCTCCATGGAAGCTGCTAGAATACAAAGGTGAGTACTGTAATATTATCAGGCTATCAACATGATATTCAATATAGAATGTCTAAGGACAATGCAAGTGCAGACTTACTAAGTAGACTTCCATTAGAATCAGCAAGAAATACCGATCCGAATGACTCGGAATATACATTTCACACTAGTCTATCGCAACTACCAATAAAGGCTGATCACACTGCAGAGAGAACAAGAAAAGATCCAAATCCTTTCCAAAGTGTATGACTTTACTTTGTCAAGCTAGTCCAACATAGTGACAGTAAAGAGTTATCCCCTAATACTTTACTAAGCGCGATGAACTTTCATATAATGGGTGCATTATATGGGGGAGCGAGTAATAATTCCCCAAACCGTCCATGAGCGTATGCTTAATGAACTACATGATTGTCATCCAGGGATGTGTAGGATGAAATCTTTGTTGGCACGATCTTATGTTTGTTGGCCCGATATAGACATGATATTGAGAATGTTGCCCAAACATGTTTTACCTGCATTGAAACACAGAACACCATTATTGTTTGGCCATGGACTAGAGAGTCTTGGCAAAGGATACACATTGATTTTGCTAAAGGACAGTAATTTCTAATTGTGGTGGACAGTCATTCAAAAGGGCTGGAAGTACTTCCCATGATGAGCATATATAGCTCTTCGGCTACAATTACAAATTTAAGATCGTTATTTGGAAAATGTTGCCAGTTCAACTAGTTTCTGACAACGGCCCACAATTCACTTCGGATGAATTTAAGTTATTTTTAAACATACTTGATATCATTTTTATATCAAACATAATTTATGCTCGCCTTATCACCCGGCTTCTTCAAAAGGACTTACTGAAAGACGTTTAAGCGTATGTTTGCTAAATCGGATTCTTCCCAGTCATTCCAACATAGGCTTGCTAATGTTTTTTTTTTAACTTTTCTGCCACCAACAACTGAGATAATCCCTGAATCTAACTCAACTGTTCCAATCCATATGACCTTCAATTTCAGAAAATTCAAGTGACATACCCTGCACCTATAAATTTACCTATCAGTACAAACTAGATCTGGTAGAATAATTAGGAAATCTGTAAGGTATGAAACATGATTAAGGATTTCAAACCATTGCTAAATAGTTAAGTTGATTTTTCTATATATTATTATTGTTGTAAAAAAAATAACTTGTGGTAGAATAGAATGTTGATGTCAATATTGAAAGCAAAGTATTACTGTATATTCCAATTAGGTTAAGGTTCAGTTCTAGAAAGGAGGAAATGTGGTGTACAGTATTTAGTCATAGGCACTTAAGGTGAATGACCAACGGACTCTACTCCTCCCTAAAAGTATGTACCACAAATATGTGATAGTTAAGAAACACTAGTCACTATGGGTGCGTTCGAGCCATACACGCCTATTAAATTCCGTGTTTATGACAGGTAAACGCACGGCTTTACACCACGGGGGGTCCCCGTATTCGAGCACAAACTTATCTTGTCTAACCGTGTAAAAATTTACCTCGGAAATACTCGTTTGAGGTCAGCGAGGCAATAGTATATCCCATCATGCCACGCAATATTTACGTTTCTAACC